ATCCCAGTTTCCAAGCAAGCGAAGACAGTACATGCCTCAGACCGCTCGGCTACCATAACCGGCTTTGTAGAACATTACCCCTCAGTAATTCAAACTGATTTTCGATGAATGTGTTTTCCTCAGTAAGGCATTATTTTAAGAAACCTGGTCACCTGTGAATTAGGAGAAGTCCATAATAAGTGGGATCTTTTTCACCACACACACCTTTCTCCAGTACTGACCAACAAAATGAGAAGGATGAAAGGAATTCTTTTCAGCAAAATATTCTAGAACCTATTTTGAAATCTTGTTGGAAGACTTAAGCAATTTCTACCACTAAATACAATTTGTATTACCGAAAGCAATCATATGGAAGTTATCACAACTAAACCAACATATTCTCCTCCACACTTACATCAACTACACGTTTACGGCAGACAAGCCGAAAAACTGTTCCAAATTACATGCATTCTGTATTGTCTTTCTCTCCTGAAATGATGTATCTGTCATATATATATATATATATCATTATTAAAACTTGTATACCAAAATGTAATCATCTGGCACATGACAAAGTTACAAACATAGGCAAATTACAAGAATATTTAGAAAATAACGAACCAGGATATACAATGCAATGCTCTAAGAAACATCATCAATAACACAAAATTTTAGATTTATGAATACATACATAAAAGATTACAATGTGGAAAATAATATGGCATGGTGTATCTAATAAGTATTTTTATATTCGCAGAAACACCACACCACCACCAGCACCATCACTGTTCTGCAATTTAGTGCTGCATATCAGTTATCACTGTTACAAATGGTAAAGAAACAATGAAGAATGCAATATATGGCGGGGAAATGAGAGAACGCAGCAATCTGCAAGAGGAGCCATGCAACCCCAAACTTTAGCAGTAGCCACTAGCACTACACCAACACCAACACCAACACCAACATCATATTACTTAATAACTCCTGGAAACAACTGAAGACTCAGTGTGATGTCATGAAGGTAGCACAATTTTCATTTCAACACAAACAATACTGTTCAAGCAAACCTGCATTTTTATATAGTTTTATTTAATCAGTATAATGGGATGAAGTTATATAAATGCTTAGCAGATGCCAGTCTTTTACTGTGTTTTCATCAATCTGGCAATGTTTATTGCCTTTGGAAGAAATAATTCAATATTTAGTGTGTTCCCATTTATGATATCTCTGGCCTCACAAACACAGCTCCATAAACTTCGTGGTCTGTAGTCCGCAAGCGAACTATACCGACTGAGTGACTGTAGCTTGTTGGCGAAGTTCGCTAACTTTCGCGGATAGAGAGTGTCACGTGGTCAGAGCAACGGTTCCCCATGGCTGTTAATCTCAGTTTTCTAGACAGGACACAAACACAGCTACTGTTTCTAAATATGTACTATACCAAGAGTTGATTGTCATTACAAGAACAAAAGTAACATGTAATTATTTATATGACACTGTGTTTATTTTGCAGCAAATTGTATTTCTGTTCACCTCTGCAGCCATTCTTATTCCAAGGCTGGAAGTATCATATGAAAATTCTGTAAAATCTTGGTATAACTGATCTCCTCTTTAATCCAGAATTAAAAAATTCAGGCTATCGTTTCTTGCTACCTACAGCAGAACGTTTTATAAAAGTACATAGATTTGTAGATAAACTGTTCCCATTGAGAACTGGTGTATTGCATTACATTTGGTGATTCTTAATCCCAATCAGAATATGTGCAGATGATGTCAAAACATTTTATGGGACTGATGGCACATTCAAGTTTCTACGGTAACTCATCACTTGCACATTACCAGTGTTACAACTTAGTTTTTGATACATATACATAACTGGAGAAACATGCAATAAGATGAGGAAATCTTGTAGAAGAATTACAATACAGGATCTTATACTGTTTACTGTACTACACAGTCTGTCAACAATGCAACAAATTGTTCGTTCTTTCTTACATTTTCACTTCGGCAAAACGTGTCGGCCCTAAATCGCCAACATCGGGTGTCTTACTATGCTAAAACTGCTACATTGCACTAATATTGTCCATTCGTCACATATGCGACTACACGCTTCATGATTTAAAACGTCATACTCATAGTCAATTGGTATGAGCTAAAATAGCACACGCTATAGTTCACTTAATTTAAATACAGATACAGGATACAGATCAAAACAAATGGACTTGTGAGGTGTAATAAAAATTTTACAAAATTTAAAGGAAATTTTAATAGAGTTTGTTGATTTAAATTAAGAGAACTACAACATGTGCTATTTTACCACATACCAATTGACTATGAGTATATTTAAAATCATGAAGCATGCAGTCGCATATGTGACAAATGGACAATATTGGAGCAGTGTAGTAGTTTTAGCATAGTAAGACAGAAGATGGTCATTTATTGCCAAAATATGTTGTGTCAAAAGTGAAAGTGTAAGAAAGAAGACACAATTTGTTGCATTGTTGATGAACTGTGTAGTACAATAAACAGTATTAGATATAGTAATACAACAAGATGCTAAACTACAAGAATACAGGACCTACTTGAATATACTGCAGTATTTCTTGAACAGTCAGTTCATTCTGTGAGGAAGATTTTTCTCTCCAAAAATGTTAATACCCAAACTCTTGAACATAATTAATAAAAAAGTACTTACAATTCCATATTATTTCTATTATTTCTGGCCAGGATATCAATAATTTCATTTTAAATGCTACTTCAAACATTTGAAGAATAAGAAGCCTAAATGCAAAGAATACTATTTAAACTTGAAATATCTTGTAAATATATGTCCAAAAAATTAAATATACTTCATTATCATGGCAGTCAGTGATGTAACTTTTGGAAAATGTATAATCCATATCGAAAAACATTACAGTTCATAAAGTGATTATTTACTATGTTAATACTTATACAGGGAGGTCATCTGACAGCCTCACAAAAACGCTTTGCCCACTTCGGCAAAAGGGACAGACTACTCACATCACCTCACACTGCGTACATTTGGACTCATGATACTGTCGACTGGTCAAAAGTCCTCAGAAATTATCCAGATCACAGCAGATACTCGAAATGGTATCTACTGTTTCACATACATTCCTGGTAATTCATGAACTACTGCTGTACTATATGGCTCCAATTTTAGCAGTACTGTGGCAATTACTGCCGATGTTTCTGAAATTGTGGTCTCCTAGGTAAGGTGTCTTGAGGGATCTCCAAGGATACGGTTCAAACACAGCAACAACTTGATCCAGTTTCTTTTCAATGTCTATTCAGCATTCCTTTTGTGACCAGTAACAACCCTGTGGAGTTCTATCTTCTGTGATATAATGTTATATATTCAATTGAAAATCTACCGACATTTCAGAGGAATATGTTGGTTCAATCTTCAGGATCAAAGCATAAGCTTGTGACTTACTTTCACATTGGTTTCATGCTTTGACCCTGAAGATAGAGGCGACATTTTACTCCAAACGTCGACAGGCTTTTAACAGATTTCATGACGTTATACCCCAGAAGATAGAAATCTTCATAACAACTGTTGTGAGAACCTCAAATCCTGCAATAATGACCTGGTCTGTTTTAATTTATTTACAATTAACATGAACAGTCTCTCTACCTAGAATTGTAACATCCTGAAATCTTCTTACCTTACTTACACAACTATTTTTCACACAGGAATCATATATGAGCATTTCTTGCGCCAACATGCAACTCACGCATAGCATAACATGGGAAACAATAGAACCAGGTCATGACTGCTTACCACACAGGTAAAATACAGTAGCAATAGCAATGTAAGGCTAAGAATTCATATGTGGGTTATCACATTATGCACATGCTCCCTTCACCAATGATGTTCAATAATTTATTGGCGCCATACTGAAAAAAAATTGTAATGTGTATATGCTGTCCGTTTGTCCACCGTGCTATGGCACAGCAGTGTGTTATGATGTGAGCAGTCTGTGTCCCTCATGCGCAGTCAATCAAACAATTCTTTTTGGAAGACAATGAAATGACTTTCCTGCATAATCTGACACAGTCAAACCTGTATTATTATTGAAAGGAAAGCAAGCCATATATCTTTTCAATACATATGGGTAACTGATGAAAAATGCCATAAAATGGGAACATATTGCAGATAACATGGAAGAATTATAAAATGGGGCCTTCTTGAATGTATCTATATATCGCAGTATTTCTTGATCAACCAGTTCACTCTTTCATGCAAATTTTTCCTTCTGAAAATGCTAACACCATATTCCTTGCGCACATTTAACAGAAAAATACGCACAGTGCCAAATTATTTCTATTACTTCTGACCATGATATTAGCTGTTTAATTTTAAATGGTAACTTGAAACATTTAAAAAGCACTACACCTAAATGCATACAATAATAGCATTTAAACCTGACATCATATGAATACATGCCAAAACAGAATTCAACACTTCACTATCATGGCAAGACGTTATGTAAGTTTCTTTTTGGGGGGAGGGGAGAAATAGTTAGTTAACGAAGTCATTATTTAATACTCGTATGTGAACACTTACAAAAAAAAGTACACCCAAAACTGTGTTATTACAGTTACACAAACAAAGCCATATATTTTTGCTTTACTTTGACAACATATGGCAAAAAAGAAAAATGTAAAAATTCAGCAAATACTGGATCCATTATCCAACGAATGACAACTGCAACTATGTTTACATCAAAAGTCCTAGAAGGTATAAGATCTAATATTTCCTCTGCTGGCTGAAAATATTAAATCCTGCACCAGTGTAAACCGGACCACCTGGAGCCCGGCCATATCTGCGGCCGAGACTGTCCTCTTGTGACCAAGACCCTCTTATAGCTCTAACACCTTCAAGCATGTTAAATTTTCCAGGGGTCTGGTCACAGAACAGGTTGGTCAGAGGACCTTTGTCATGCAGTGATGTACGCATGTTCTCCACACCCTCATTTGACCTCATGTAATCTGAGAATATGTGGGTGTGAGTTGCCCCATTAAAATATACCTGTGGTGGTCTACAATCTCCACCAGAGTAGTCCCTTATTTGCATCTTCTGTAAACCAAGAATGGGATCAAATTCCTTTGTAGGGTCAAATAAATTCCCATTAAAGTATTTTCCTTCGCTACGTTTGAAAATTCCAGGGCTGTTTCCCACCTGAATCCCATAATATCTCATATCTGAAATATTTCTTCCATTTTCCAGCCTTGAAACAAATTCAGTTCCAGGCTGGCCAACTGCTCCATTCACACCAATGGCAAAAAATGATTCATCAGTGTTGCTCTTTAAAGCAGAATTTATTGCATGGGAATCAGATGAGAGGTTATTTACATTGGGTTGGGGTTTTTCCAAAAGTTGTACAGGATTCTTGGCATGTTTTGTAACATATGGTGGAATTGAATCATTTCTGAAGTTGCCATAAAGAGCAATATCCATTGCTCGTTCCAGACTCCGGTGGCTTGAACTGCGGGAAGAAAGGGTCACCATACCACCGCCATCTTCAGAGAAGTCTTGTTCATTTGGCTAAATTCATTAGCAAAACGACAATGCACTGAAAATTATTACATTGAAATTTGCTCTTCTAAAAACAGTTCTATTCCAATTAATTGCAAAGTTAACTTTTTGTTTCAATTTACAGATCTGCGTCTCTCTCAATATTTATGACTCTGAGTAATGAAAATTACTTTCATCTAACACAGGTCATCAGTTTCTAAATATAAATGTGTCCTGATAAAAAGTAATGATTTAAATGAGCCCACCCCACAAAAAAAAAAATATCACCTATGTCTTGTACCAAAAATGTAAGAAACACGAATGATTAATGGGCCTAGGATAATTCAAGGCACATTAAAAGATGTGAAATCCGCTACAAAACTAAATTCATTTTCAACATTCATGACAAAGGAACACAGACAAAATGCAGTATGATGGGTTTATTTTTAACTGCTAAAGAACAAAATGAAATTTTCCCAACAATTTTCGGTGCAGTGTCCCGGTACCAAATACGATCAAAGTCAGCTGCATATGTGCAGAGACAGTCTGTATCTACTAACAAACAATCTGAATAACTAACGAACCAACCAACCAGCTCTGTAGAGCAGAATTCCTCTTGAGAAGTCAGCAGTTACTCAACCACCCAATAAATCCCCAGAATTATATGCAATCTGAAGGTTTACTGCTTTCCAAAGCAGTCCAGTGATATTCTGGAGGAATATACTGTCTCCATCTTCAGGGTTGAATAACAAGTCATGCAAGAAACCAGCATGCAGCAGGTAACAAGAAGCTCTTCTTAGACATTATGGTGCAAAAAGAAAACACTATATTAATATCCTCTATAAATATCTTTGTATCAAGAAGACTGCATGCTATTTGTGAGCAGAAATCTGTGAAAGAGTTAATAGGTTTACGCAGTAATTCCTAGGGTCTGGAAAAGATTACAGCACCCAGACAGTTTGCATACCTGAAGAAATCCTTCCTCAAAAACTGACAAATATTCAGTCAAGCACAAAAAGGTGTTTCACTTTAAAGAGCCTATACATGTCTACAAATGGCTGTCACTAAACCCCATTCTGAGAACGCCAACTTCAATCCACACGTTCACAATCTAGTTTTGCCACAGTCATGTCTGTTGCACCATCTAACTTGAAATTAGCAACACTACTGGTACTACACAGTGTGACTGGTGTTCTTTTAGTGACACTTTCAATAAGTACAATTAATTATATACTGCCTCCAGGCTGTGGGCCGTTTGGTCCTTGTTTGAGGTATTTTGCTGAAAATCATGCTACTTTCATACATCGCCTTAACACTTATAGGAAATCACTGCACGTCTATTATTCCATTCATAACGCAATCTCAATTTAAAACAAGCAGTGCCAGTATGTAAATTATAATTAATATAACTTACGTTCACAATTCTATGCCACATCATAAAGAAACAATACGCTCAGAATGTAATTAACGTAATTCGTCTAGGCCATAAAATTCAAATACCTTACGAATATCTGCTAAAATACAAATACATGGATTTTGAATCATACCTTCTCCCCTTTAGCAAGGTACACCCACAGCTTACGCCATGTGGAGAATTTCTTCATGTCACTAAAGTTGTACTGCATTTCTTTCGATGCGTACCTTGTTGAGAGTGGGGATCGGTAATTACAGAATTCATTATTTTCACTGTAACCTTCGTTCATCTTTAATGCTGTCACTAAACTAATTACAACGAAAGTACACTATCAACACTTCCACATGACACACTCTGTCTGCCGCTGTACAATGCTACCACTTCTGACGAACTAATTATTTCCTGCTGGCGGTGCTTTAGTGTTTCTCTTTTTAAATATGAGCATAAATATAAACAGACGGACATTATGCCTTACTGATTACATCAAAGATAACCTTAGCACTGAATAAAAAGGTCAGATGTTTAACAATCTTCAAACACAATTTCGTGTACCAGTGTTCGCTCTATTGGCAACGCCGTCCGTATGGGGATATCGCTTTACTGCAGTTGAATTTTTAGCCGCCGCAATCAAACTGAATTACGTAAGACTGCCCTTATGGCACTGAACGTGCAGGGATGGAACAAAATAATTGAATCGCTGCAGATATCGTACACAATTCTTTATTAATAAGGTATGGGGCCACCTTTGGCCTTCAATGCAGCCGCAGTCCTTCTTGGAATAGACTTGTACTAGGAATTTCAAACCTTTCTTCTTGAAGAACTTCCAGTTGCTCTAGAGACATTGAGGTAGAAATCCGTTCCTCACTGTAATCTCCAAAACTGACCAGAGTGGTTCAACTGTGTTCAAATCTCGTGATTATGTTGGGCAGGGAACATGGTGAAGTTCGTCGTCAATCTCTTCAAACCATGATTGAACAATTCCAGCTCTGTGAATTGTTGCCTTAGAAAACTGCATCGTTGTTCGGAAATAACGTCTGGGTCATGGAATACAGCTGATTACCCAAGCTGTCCACGTACTCCCTTACAGTAATTCGGCCATGATGGGTAATAATTAGACCAACAGAACATTCTTCCACGATATTGCTGCCCAAAACATCACAGAACATCCCCAGTGCTTCACTGTTGGTACCAGGCATTCTGGATTTTCGGCTTCCTTGGGTGTTCTCCAAACTCTTCCTAACGTGGGGAACAGCGTGAAGAACGCCTCATCTGAGCATATCTTGCAAACAGGTGTTTAGCAATTGCAGCTCTATTGCAGATGCTGGGTTTGTGAAGATCATGTTGGACAGTTTTTATGGAAACAGGGCCTTCAAAATAAATATTCAGTACTGCTATCCTGTTACCTATGCTGCAGTAGTTCTGTGATTTTTCGAAACAGTCAATGTACGACGATCTCTTTCTGTCAGTGTTGAATTTCTCTCATCCTCCTCTTCGCTGGTGTTGTATTCTCATGATTCATGTATGCCGAAGTAACCTTAGAAACAGTGGCTCTCGATACACCTAATAATATGGAAGTTTTTGTCACAGATGCTCCAACTAAATGCGCACCAACGATCTGTCCTCTTTCAAAATTGGACACATCTCCAATTTTCCAATTCTTTCATATGGATTGTCACTCAACACAATCACAAATGCACTTACATGAGAACTACAGAGTGTAAATGAAGAGAAAAGGAACATTCAGTGTAACCAACTAAAGTTCTTTCAAAGTCGCCAGAATAAATCATGTACCTCATTTTCACAATACATCCTTTATTTTGTTCACCCCTGTATATCAGAATGAGGGATCATGAGGCTATCTAGCGATTAAATCATTAAAAGGCCGTCCTCACAACATAAAACATATGACGAAATAAAACTTCGGTGTCTGATATGTTACGTACAAGTCCAAATTATTGTCATTCCTGGGAATTTCTCACACTTCCCTGTCCCCTTCCCAAAGCCTCAAAACCCAAACTCCCTATCGGAAGTGATCTCAGCTTCCATGGTAGATGATGTAAATTTAAATTTCACATAATACAGCAACAAAATATTGGATAAAATTACCAAGGAATGAGCTTCTTCGTGGAAGAAGCAAAAGTTATATGTAACTTCAACGTACTTGTATTGTAGTGTTACAATATGACAGGAACATTTAAGTAAATGAGATATAAGGTATATGCAACAATAAGAGAATGGAGTCTTCCTGGTAACATATACATTCAATTAAATAATTACTTAATTGAATATATATGTTGTCAGAAAGACATGGTAAAACTATTTCTCTGTGTCAACTCTGCAATTCTTGGAAGAGAACTGTATACACATGTAAAGTAACAAAATTCATCTTACTTGAAAATGATGAAAATATTGTGGCGTATAGACCCCTTGTTAAGTGATGACTCTGTAAATAACAGCCATTGCTATGCAATAGGTGGAAAAACAAACATCCGTTTCTATAAAGAAATGGAAACTGTGTTTTCTTTATGGTCTTTGCCTAGATGTTATAAGGAAGAGAGTTTGAAACGAGTTAGTTGACAGAAGTTGTCAGCAGATTCAGTTGAGTGAAGTGACGTGAAATAGCTTGGTGTGTGAGAGCGTTCAGTTGAGTGAAGTGACGTGAAGTAGCTGGTAGTTGTGTGAGAGAGTTCAGTTGCAAGCCAGCCTGTCAAGAGAAGACTTGGAGGTTGGTGTGAAATGGCCGCCAACCTGGCACTCAGTGGAGGGTTGGCAGTTGACAAGAGTTCTGGACAGGCTGCTATGAGAAGAAGGCCTGAGTGTGGGAAGCTGAAGAATCTCCCTTGGTAGAAGCCGTTGCCAGGGAAAGGCTAGTGGAGACTATAATATACTGAGAATACTAGTCTGTGTGTGTCAGTGTTCTGTAAAGTTTAGTTCTGGGTTTTGTACATAAGAAGGTCAATAAATTCCATATCCTATCTATATCCTGTCTATAGCCACACAACCCCAAAATCGTGACAATATGATTTCATGCCTGAGTCCTTGTTTTTAAGACTCAATCTAAATATAGTCATGCTACTATTAAAATACAATGATTACTGGAAGAATTCAATGCGTATAATTTTGTCTATTACAAATATTTATAGGAATGTCAAGCAAGACCAGCAATATTTCTCTTTCTTTTATATCAGATATGCAACACATATACTATTCAACTTCTGAACATCTTGCACTTAAAATGGCTTTCCTTTGATGGGACTGAAAGAATAAAATATTTGTGTTTAAAATATTAATTCCAAGTTACAAATACTAATAATATTTGAGACGTCAACTGGAGGAAGCATCATAAATGGATCTGGCTCCAAGCACTTCCTCTACCTTTCGAACTTCCAATGATTTTCATTTAGAATACAAGTGCACTGAACTTCGGTGAGACATTTTCTGTTACATACAATTTTCAGTTTTTGACTGATTTATTATAAAATTGGCGTGACCACAAGATTCGTAACACAATAAACTATTACAAATAAGGAAAACAAAATAAACTTCGTGGCCTGTAATCCGCAAGCGAACTATACCGACCGACTGACTGCCGCTTGTCGGCGTAGTTAATGTCAACTTTTGCGGATAGAGATTGTCACGTGGTCAGCGCAACGGATCCCCACGGCCTTTAATCTCTGTTTTATATACGGGAGCCGCCATTTCCTTCAAATAGCTCCTAAATTATCCTCACGAGGCTGAGTGGACCCCGTTCCAGACCAACTACCTCTCAGAAAATCTGGTAGAACAAGGAATCGAACCCGAGCCTCTGGATCTGTAACCAGGAACCCTGACTTCTAGGCCACAGAGGCGGTCTCCGTATCCCATATTTCATTCATAAGTATTTGCGTGTTTGAGGGGAGGGGGGCTTACCTTGCTGCAAGACTGCGGTTTGGCCCAGTCCACAATGGTGTTCCTTCCCCAGAGTTTCTCTCTGTTTGGGATCAGCCGCCTGCGGGCCAAAGCCGCCGAGCAATGGCTGTCATATTCTACAATAGCATTCTGCACATTCGAATTCGTAGACCTGTTCATACCGCCATATCCCGTCTTCTTGATGAGTCGCACCTCCACAACCCCCTCTGTGACAAGGCACAGTACCTGTGCATGAAAACAAAACTCCTGCGGTCTTAACATGAAAATTGCTGGAAATAAGCTGGGAGATATTAGAAACATTCCACTGTGGTTAATGAAAGTTGTAGCAGATATGCTTAACATTTCAAACATTTTTTTTTTCTCTTTGGCGCTACAGCCCCAAATTGGGCCTTGGCCATGAAACTCCCCGTTTCATTTCGGTTTACTAGATCTTAGACATTCTGTAGGACTATGTTAGATTTGAGGCTTTCACGGCGGTGACTATGAAGAAAGCAGTCTTCTGGGATTTGGCACCGTGTATATGTGGTGTTAACCGACGTTCCTCCGAAACGTCGG